TATTATCTCACAGTTTCTGTGGGTCAGGAGTCCAGGCACAGCTCAGCTGTGTCCTCTGCAAGACTATAATCAAGGTGTTGGTTGGGGCTGTGGTCTCCTCTGAGGCTCTACTGGAAAAGGAACTGCTCCCAAGCTCACATGGCTGTTGGCAGCTTCAGTTTCCGGCAGCCTGCTGGACTGCAGGCCTCGGTTTCTGGGTAGCTGTGGACCGGAGCTCTGCCCTCAGTTCCTGGCCACGTGGCCCTCTCCATAGGGAAGCTCCCAGCTGCATGTACCAGATGCTTCAGTCTCATGTCATGTAATCACACATGTGCAATCACATATATCCCCTCACTTTTGCCATATTCTATGTGTCTAGAAGCAGGTCACAGATTCTGCCACACTCAACAGGAGGAATCACGCAAGCACATGAAAGCTGATCATGGGGCCTTCTTAAGAGCCTGTCTGCCCCTGGTGGTTCCATGAGTGTTCATTAAATTATTCGTTAAATTGTATATATAAATTACATAGCTATACGTTAGTGTACATACATATTATGTATACATATAGGTATGCATAAATACATGTAAATATTTTATAGAGATTTCTAAACCTATGATATGTTTCACAATTTAAAAGTTCAAAAACTGTGATACAATTTTTTTGAATAAATTACTTCAGATCTGAGTGTGCCCATGTGCAGCCAGGCAAAGATCTCACTGCCTTAGGTGGCAAGCTCTGAAATGAAATCCAGAACCAACTCAAGTGCTCAGGACTGACTCTTTACTTCTGAGATAATGAAGTCGCCAGGAACTCAGAAGGCATCCTAGAGATTGCACCTTGACATTTTTGAATCATTTAGAAATTACTGCAACGCCTAATTTTTTTTTTTTTAGGAAGATTAGCTCTGAGCTAACTACTGCTGATCCTCCTCTTTTTGCTGAGGAAGACTGGCCCTGAGCTAACACATGCCTATCTTCCTCTACTTTATACATGGGACACCTACCACAGCATGGCTTTTGCCAAGCAGTGCCATGTCCGTACCCGGGATCCGAACTGGCCAACCCCGCTGCTGAGAGGTGGAATGCGTCAACTTAACCACTGTACCACCAGTCCGGTCCAGCAATGCCTAATTTTGACTTGAAAAAAGAAACGAATTCTTCTGTTTTTTTTTTTTTTTTTTAAAGATTGGCACCTGAGCTAACTGCTGTCAATCTTTTTTTTTTTTTTTTGCTTTTTCTCCCCAAATCCCCCCAGTACATAGTTGTATATTTTAGTTGTGGGTCCTTCTAGTTGTGGCATGTATGATGCCACCCCAACACGGCCCGACAAACAGGGCCATGTCTGCGCCTGGAATCCAAACGGGTGAAACCCTGGGCCGCCGAAGCAGAGCATGCAAACATAACCAGTCGGCCACGGGGCCAGCCCAAGGAATTGTTTTAACCTGTAGCTAATTTTCAAAAACTTGACGTTTTTACAATATCTCCCATGTGCACAGGCCATCTCTCCAAAGGTCGACCCTTGTTTAAGGCCCTTAATGAAGTATGATACTTGAATTCATTTACACACCTCACTTTTCTCACCAGATTTACTTCTAGGTATTTCATGTTTTTGTTTCTATTGCAAATGAGCTCTTTATTTTTAAATATAATGTCCGCTGACTGTTGCTATTCACCAGCAACATTACTGACTTTTGGGCATGCACCAAGTCTTTGCTAAACTTTCACATTCATTCTAAGAATTTTTATTTCTATTTTCCTAGGTTTTCTAGGTACACAATGGTGCCATCTGGAAACTATGCCATTTTTGTTTCCTCCTTCCCCATGGGCCATAACCCTGATTTATGTCTCCTGGAGCAAGTTCCTTAAAAAGCTTGAAACTTCAGAGTCAGACAAATCTCAGACTGCCAGCATCTGCCTTGAGAAAGTTGCTTAACCTCTCTGGGCCTCAGTTTCCTCATTTGTAACCTGGGACCACCAAAGGATCTTCCTCATAGGATTACTGTGAGAATTAGGTAAGATAATATCTGCCTTTGGCACAGTGTCTGTCTCAAAGCTCAATACATGCTAGACAAAGCATAATTATTATTATAGTTTAACAAGAACTTAAATAAAAATGACAGGACAGGGACCCCCAGGTTGTTAATACCAAGCTGGGTGGTGGGAGCAGGCATATACTGACATATACTGATGTATGCTGTGTCTCCTCCCTCCCAGGGCTGTGCTGAGTGCCTTCTAAGCATCTTTTTACTAAACTAACAGCCTCATGGAGGTAAATGGCTGTTCTGGCACCCCATAATCACTCGAAGGGAGGGGGACCCCAGTCCAGCCTGCCTCGCTGCAGAGCCTGTGCTCGTCTCTGCTGGTCCGTCCTGGGGGAGGATCAGACATCACTCAGCCCAGAGGTTCTCGACCCCGGCGGCACGTTAGGAACATCTGAGGATCTCGAACAGCATGTTGAGGCCCAAGCCCCACCGCAGACCAAACGGATTTGACTCTCTGAGGGTGGCTCTGACATCAGTATCTTTTCAAAGCTCCCCAGATGAATGTAATGGCCAGGGCTGAGAACCACCAGTGGCCCCATTATGGCATCTAGAACATTGACATTTTAGGCAATAATCATGGCGGCCTGGCACCAAATTCCAGATGAGCTCAAGTTCATGCTCCCTCTCTTTCTCATAAATTAACTCATCCATTGCTGCCTATGATGGTTAATTTTATGTGCCAACTTGGCTGGGCCACAGTGCCCAGATATATGGTTAAACACTGTTCTGGATGTTTCTGTGAAGGTGTTTTTTGCATGAGATTAACACTTAAATCAGTAGACCTTGAGTAAAGTAGATTGCCCTCTGTAATGTGGGTGGGCCTCATCCAACCAGTTGAAAGCTTTTTTTGAAATTTTTTTTTTTGAGGAAGATTAGCCCTGAGCTAACTGCTGCCAATCTTCCTCTTTTTGCTGAGGAAGACTGGCCCTGAGCTAACACCCGTGCCCATCTTCCTCTACTTTATTTGTGAGACGCCTACCACAGCATGGCTTGCCAAGCAGTGCCCTGTCCACACCCGGGATCTGAACTGCTGGCAAACCCTAGGCCGCCGAAGTGGAAGGTGAACATTTAACTGCTGCAGCACCACGCTGGCCCCTGAAAGCTTTAAGAGAAAAAAGACTGTCCTCCCCCGAGCAGGAAGGAACTCTGTAGCAGACGACCTTTGGGCTCGGACTGCCGGTCTTCCCTGGGCCTCCAGCCTGCTGACCTGCCCAGCAGATTTTGGACTTGCCCCTCCACAAATCACATGAGCCAATTCCTTAAAATAGATCTCTCTCTCTCTGTTCTCTCTATCTCCACACACAAACACACACACACACACACACACACACACCCCCCTACAAATCCTATTGGTTCTGTTTTTCTGGAGAATCGTAACACACAGCCATAATCAAAATTGGCCTCTTGTTCAAGAAAATCATACATAAAGCATCCATTCTTCTTTGGAAAACCATGACTAGACAATGAAGGATATAGAAGCACAGAATTTTCAGTCTAGGGGAGAATAATACAGATCACTTGGTCTAACTGAAATAGGGGTGCAGAGATAGAAATAACCTTAGGGTGTGTTTATCTTCCACATATGAGTGAAATCATATGGTGTTTGTCTTTCTCTGTCTGGCTTACTTTGCTTAACATAATACCCTCAAGGTCCATCCAGGTTGTTGCAAACGGGACAATTTTGTCTTTGTTTTATGGCCAGGAGGTATTCCATTGGGTATATATACCACATCTTTTTTATTCACTCATCTGTCAGTGAGCACTTAGGTTGCTTCCACGTCTTGGCTATTGTGAATAATGCTGCACTGAACATAGGGGTGCACAGATCTCTCTGAATTGTTGATTTCATGTTCTTTGGATAAATATCCAGTAGTGGGATAGCTGGATCGTATGGTATTTCTATTTTTAATCTTTTAAGAAATCTCCATACTGTTTTCCACAATGGCTGCACCAGTTTGCACTCCCACCAGCAGTGTATAAGGGTTCCCTTCTAACCACATCCTCTCCAACATTTGTTATTTTTCGTCTTGGTAATTTTAGCCATTCTGACAGGTGTAAGGTGATATCTCATTGTAGTTTTGATTTGCATTTCCCTAATAATTAAGGATATTGAAGATCTTTTCATGTGCCTGTTGGCCATCTGTGTACCTTCTTTGGAAAAATGTCTGTTCATATCCTCGCCCAGTTTTTGATTGGGTTGTTTTTTGTTGTTGTTGTTGAATTGTATGAGTTCCTTATATATTTTGGAAGTTAACCCCTTGTCAGACATATGATTTGCAAATATTTTCTCCCAGTTGGTGGGTTGTCTTTCCGTTTTGTTGCTGGTTTCCTTTGCCTTGCAGAAGCTTTTTAGTCTGATGTAGTCCCATTTGTTTATTTTTTCTTTTGTTTCCCTTGCCTGAGTAAACACGGCATTGGAAAAGACAAAAAGACGCCCTGCTAAGACCGATAAAGAGACCAGAGTAGCAGTTACCAGAGAGGAAGGGGGTGGGGGATAGGGGAAAGGAGTAAAAGGAGACATATGTATGGTGATGGATGAAACCAGACTAGTGGTGGTGGGCATGATGCAGTCCATACAGAAACGGATCTGTAATAATGCACACCTGAAATTACACAAGGTTATAAACCAATGCGACCTCAATCAAACAATTTAACAAAATAAAAGTACACGCACCTCACCTTCCCACCCCGGCCCCCAAAGAGAAATAACCCTGGGGTGATTTTGTCCCGGATTTAGCAGTGTCTGGAGACATTTTTGGTCGTCATGATGGGGGGGGGGGGGTAGTGAGGGAATGGGAAGGGGGTGCGAGGTTGCTACCGGCATCGAGCGGGCAGAGGGGGCGGGGATGCTGCAAACAACGCAGAGTTACCCGGTTTAAATGCGGCAGTGCCGAGGTTGAAAAACCCCGGGTCAGGACGGGGAAACTCTTAGTCACCAAGGAAATTACCTCACACCCGGTGGAAGGGGGAGGACTGCATTCAAATTAGGAAGGAGCCCTGAAGAAGCAAGGCGAACCGAACAGGACTGGGAAAACAAGTCGGGGTCCGGGGTAACATTACTGAAAAGGCCAAGAAGCTTCAGGGAAGTTCCCGAGAGACCGGTGAGGCCTTGGAGGCAGGACCCGGAGTCCAGCCAATGGGAACTTCACGGGCAGGAGGCGGAGCTTGAGTACGTTCCTAAGCGGCCTTGCACTCTGAAGCTCTCGCAGAGGGAGTTCTGGCACCAAGTCTGAGCGCGGCGCCCGAGGTGGTGAGTAGCTGTCTAGTGTTTGTGGCTGCACGGATTGCGGTTGTTTTAAACCTCGGGAGCAATCCGATAAACTCCCCGGGGGCCCAGTGGGGAGGGATCGGACGACAGAGTTCTGGTCTTCTCTCTGCCAAGAATGATCTTATTGTACTGATTTTAAGATGTGTGTGACTTCGCCTTTTAACTTCTGAGCAATTGGGCTGCATCCAGGGGTAGCAGTAATGTATGTGATGTTCTCAACACAACACCAATTGCAGACACCCTCAGGAAGGGTCTATTAAAGAGTTTATGAATAACTGGCAAAAGTGAATTAGATAATAAACAAATAAATGACACTTCAGTTCCTTTGTCTGTCAGTGGGGATGTTGAAACAATTCAGGCGGTTGTGTGAATCCAGTTGGATGATATAAAAACATGTTTGAACAAGTTAAATGTCTTTTAAAAACCCCAGAGGTTCTGCTCTCTTGTGTGTCTTATATCCCAGAGCATGTTTCCAGGATGATGTTAAAGACAAAGACAAACAGAGAGGGAGGGTTGTGTTGAGATGACTGTGCCTCAACCTCAGGGTGACAAACACGTGTGACCGAAGGTGCAGGAGCAGGCTGGGCGACACGTGGTTGGAGGTGCGTGTGAATGTCCACTTAGGCCTTGTAATTTATGGCTGGTTCCATGGGATATATGTTCAGGGAACTGGGAGAAGCCGGGGTGCTGGAGAAAGTGAAAGGAGAAGAGCAGAGGGAGGTGACGTTGATGACAACCGTGGGGGTCAGATCATCGGAATATTGTAGGCTAAGTGGTTTGAGTTTAATTCTAAGGAAAATGGGAAACCACTGGAGGGTTTTAGGAAGGGTAACAGCATGATCTGATTGACATTTAAAAGGATCAATCTTACTGTTGAGGGCAACTGGATTGCAGGGTGGAAAGGGTGAGGCACGGAGAGCCGTTGGGGGGGCGCCTCAGCGATGCGGGCAAGATGGTGACGGCTCAGGGTGGAGCGATGGGAATGGGCAGCTGTGGGATCCGTTTTAGCAGCAGAGCCCATGGGACAGATTAAATGTCAGGTGACAGAAGTAGTGAGCGATGGAGCAGGGTTAGACTCTTGGCCTGAGCCACTGTGGGCCTGTCTCTGCACCACTGACTGACACCGATGGCAAAGACTGGAGGGAGAATGTGTCTGGGTGTGAGAAACAGTGACTTCTCTTTGGCCAGAAGGCTTCTTTAAAGGAAAGGATCACGTGGCTTGGAGGAGAGGTCATTTGGGGCAGGGGTTCATGAGCACTCTCTTCAAATGCTCGCATGCCTGTGGTGGGGAACAGAGGTAGCCTTGATTCTCTGTGCCCTTAGACACCAAGAGCAAAGCCGAGTGAGGGACAGGTAGAGAAGCAGATTTCAGCTCACCTAGACATCTCATAATGGAAGTGGCATGGGCTGTGGGGTCCGAGGAAGGAGCATGCCGCCCTGGCTCTGCTGTCACCAGCAGTATGATTGGGACGAGTTATTTAAACTCTTTGAGACTCCATTTCAATATCTCCTAACACTATAGAGGTGACACTACGATAATACCAACAATCATAGCAAACACTTTTATCACACTTTTAACATGTGAGGCACTGTTCTAGCGGCTTTCCATGGATTAACTCATTTGCTACTCAAGGCAGCCGATGACATAGGTGCTGCTATCATTGCCATACTAGAGTGGAGGCTCAAAGAAGTTGAATTACTTGCTCAAGGTCACTCAGCAAGTAAGGGTACTGTTGTCATGCATCATATGATCTCTGAAAGGTACGGAGTGGCATGTGCTGTCCTTCGTCTCGACCTGTCAAAGACGTCAACCAAAACACAACATGGATGATTGTTAACGTTTTGTGATGACACAATTCTGTGCAGTTTCAGGATGAAAATCCAACATGATCTCAACAGTCTGAAATGGTGGATGGAAACTCACAAGTTGGTGTGTGATGCAGATCAATGGCGAGGCGGCTCTGCGGTTAGATTCCAGGTTCAGTCACACGGAGTCGCACTTTACTGCTCAGACCACATCCGGAATGTTCTGTTCCATTCTGGGGGCTTCTCTGATGAGAGGCATCCTGACAAGCTGAAATCCATTCAGAGGAGCTGGATCCATTCAGTGAGCTGATGAATTAGATCATGTCAGAATGGAGGATGTCTACTGGATGAAAGGACACCGAGGACGAGTTCATGGATGGTAAATGGGAAGAAAGCATTTGTAATATCTGAAACTGACGTGGGATTATGTCTACAATGCACAAGCAACTTCTGAAAATCACCAAGAAAGACAGGAAGCGCAATGGAGCAGTGGCAAAGGAAATTAATGGGCAGATCACAGACACGGAAACAGGAAGCTGGGGCAAGTCTTTGAAGAGAGTCCACTGAAGCTAATTCCCAGAGACGTGCAGATGAAACCAACACCCTGTTAGCCGGGCTGCCCCGGGAGAGCCGAGTGATTCACTCGCCAAGTCGAGGCCCTCGTGTGTGAGGCACAGGCCCTCTGGGTGGGGCACAGTCATCCCAGTTCTAATGTCAACACCGTTTCAGCAGGTGACGCCCAATGTTGTTGGGGATGTGGGCGTGGAGACCGACCCCATTGGAGGTGGGAACGTGCCTGGGAGAACATTGAGATGCAAACTTTCTCAATTAAGTACACTTATTATGTAGGCTCCAATAATTCTGCTCCTGGGTCTGTGAGCCCAAACAAACTCTCAGCCAGGGCCAAGGGGTCACGTGAGTGAAGGCTCGCCACTGTGCTGGTGGATGGCTGCAGGCCTCTGGGCCACCATCTTTGGGGAGTGCTCTCCATAGGTCGTTAGAGTCAATTTTCCATCAGTCCAGTGAAGCTGATACTGTTCTCCTCATCTTCCAGAAGAATAAACTGGAACTCGTGAGATTAAGTAACTGGATTAAGATCATGCCGCTTATAAACAGCAAGGCTGAGACCCACATTGCAGTTCCACCCACTTCATGACGAGAAAGAAGAGGTGGAACTGGAGAAATCCTTCTTTCCCATCACTATTGCTGTTCCTTCCATTCTGTACTCCTCCCTTCTTCATTTCTAGATCAAAGCAAGAGAAAAGAGGCATTACAGAAAAAAAACGGGTCTGGCGAGAGTGGGCTGAAGGCGTCAGTTTGACCTTCTAGAATTCTGACTTCACTTAAGATTCTTACCCCAGCCCCTATGATGCTTCATGCAACAAAAATTCTTAGAAGAAAAATACCAGCTAACATCTATGAAGCCCACGTATCAGGCACTATTCTAAGGGCTTTACATGTCTGTGTCAGTTAATCCTCATGGGGACCCTGTGAAGCAGGAAGGATGTTTAGCATCTCCACTTTACAGATGAAGGAACGGAAAACTAGAGAGGTTAAGTAACTTTCCCAAGGTCACACATCTGGAATATAAACCCTGGCTGTCTGAATTTGGGGCCCATACTTCTAGGCATTCGAACTTTGGGAGTCTGTGCAGTGAGGTGGAGCTGTTGGCCTGGTTTGGCTTCTGCTCTGCTCACTGCTCATTGCATTTTGGAAGGATCGTTGAACTGCTCTGGGCCTCAGTTTTCTCATTGTAAAGTCTGGATAAAAATAGCATTCCCCTTCTAGGGTTATTATGAGGTATAACATCTGCAAAGAAATCAATAAGTTATTGTCATTAAAGTTTCATTACCGTTGAATTACATGTCTCTTCCTTCTAGGGATCAATGCAAATGCCCCAGAACAAACCTGGGATGCTGTGTTTGGTGCATAGGCCCTTTGGGATGGCTGGAGGACCCCCAAGGAGTGGATGTTGGAGGGCTGACTACATTTTAAGAGGAAAGAGCAGAGGGTGGGCTGAGACCCTGGGCCCCGGCAAATGAGCTGAGCTCAGCACACTGACAAGGGGCCTGGAAAATTGAGCCACGGGCCTTCACAGGCAGAGCAGATGTGAGCATGTAGGTGCTTGAATCGGGGAGGAAGGACATGAGGGAGAGCCGCCAGGCTTTGGAACCAGACAGATCTGAGTTCGAATCTCACCTCGTCTCAGCCCTTGCTATGTGCCCTTGGCACGTCACTCAAGCTCTCCTTCCCAGCTGTGGGCTCTCCATGGTGCCCTTGCAGGGCGATTGAGGACTCAGTGAAATAAGCTCAGATGAGCGCTTTGTCCAGCACATAGCAGTCACTCAAGAACCCTGACCTCCCTTCCCGTTGAAGGCCCAGGAACGCGGGGGCTGAGGACAGCTGGCTTTGGACCGAGTTCTTATGACCACAGACGATGGACTTGAGTCACCCGCCTCAGTTCCCTTATTTCTTCTCTACGAAAACAGGAAGAGAACCAGATGATGTCCACTTGGCAAGTCTCCCACATGGGTTTCAGCTGATGCAGCTGCTTTTTATAATAAAGCTGTCTTCTTTTTTAACTTAACTCTTCAAAGAACAAAATGGGCTTTTAAACAAAACGTTAAAAATCAGAATTGGGAGAAAATAATGCCAGATAAGAGAGGTCAAGACTCTAAAACTGTATTTCTTTGTTTCTCTGTCTTCCTGCCTTCCTGCACCACCAAAACCCAGGCAAGGAATGCAGTGTGGTTTCCCGCAGACACAGAGCATCAGCAGACAGCAAGGACCAACGTTATCACTGACCTTAGAAATGGAACCATGGTTCTCTGGAGCCCTCTCAACTTTTTCCCCAAGAAGTAGGCCCTCTTCCATTTTTACACATGAGCACTTAAATGGAAAAAGAAAAGGGGTGAAAATGAAGCATTGTGGGAGCGAAGGTGGATGGTGCTGAGGAGATGTCCTTAATTAAATGTTGTCAGACGTCAACTAGATGGGGTGACAGGGCGAGTTCCCCCTGCCCATCCTCCCTGGGGCTCCAGAGTAGACGATTTGCACACAAGAAATCAGGATGTAATTTCCTGGCTGAGGACCTCGGCTCTGCTCGCAGCACTGCTCCAGTTTCCAGGAGGAAAGTGCCGCCAGTGACTTCAAGCCAGTGCAGAAGGGAGAGGTGT